AGAAAGATTCCGGAGAGCTTCGAGGTTTTCCCGGAATTCAAGCCATCGTTGCTGAAGTGCATCGTCGAGAGGTTCATCCCATTTTTTCTGGCACCGCCACAAGTCTTGGAGGTAGATTTTGGCCTGTACGATTACCGGAACGACCAGTCGCAGAGGATCAAAAAGTTTGGCAGCATCCGATAGCGAGATTCTTTTGGTAATTGTAGCTGTATCGTTCCATTTGGGTACGTCGAAGAGGAAATCGTCTGTCGTAGTCTGCCATTTCAGTCCTAGCGTTTTGATTGGAGCGGAGGAAGTATTAAAGTCGAACACTGTTCGTTCGTCTCGTAGATCTGCTGGAAGGTGTTCGAGGACCTCCGGACAATTCGAAGACCATTTCCGAAGACAAAATCCCGCAGACTGAAGCAGCAACTGGGAAAAAAGCTGCTGCCCTTCACTGACGTCATCAACGCCAGTTAATAGGTCATCCATTTAGAAGTCCTTGGATACGACTTTGGATGCTTCTGGATGTGTGGTTTCTCCAATTCTAGCGATTTCATGGAGGAACCTGGTTGCCAGGTAGGGAGCGCACGAAGTATTGTAAGTCACGGTCGTAAGTTGGAAGGTTTGCAAAAGTTCCGATGGCGAATTTCGCCAAAGAATCTTGAGATAACGCCGATTGAGCAGGAAAAGTAGGATTTTCCGGTACATTTTCTCAATATCCGACACAATCACGTACCGAGGGATCCAAAACCATAAAGTGATCGACACCAGGTCGTCTGGAACGACGAGATCGACCATCAATCCTGGGGCAGATAATACGAAAGAGTATTGGGCTTTAGTTCTTCCGAATCGGTGACTTCCTCCATATGTCCCAGCCGACGATACTCCTCGATGAAGTCTGAATACGCTTTCTTAAGCAATGGATTAACGTTCAGGCGTTGCTCCAGAGCGAGAAAACGACGAGTGGCAGTCTCTTTGGAGTTTCCGAGTATTGAGAGGACTGTCAACCTTTACGGAAGTTGAACTACGAAACGTCCTGTATCATCCCGAGTAGTTGTAGCTGCAAAATGCGCTTCGCAAAGCGTTTCTTCGATGGATAGGGTACTGCTAGATTGGCACGACTTTAGTTCCCAAAAGCGTACCTATTGATCTTCGAGCGGACTGATACTTCAGACGTGGACAAAACTGATTGTTGGTGACGGAGATGAGCCAACCTTGCCGTAAACGACCCATCCGAGTACGGTTTTCTGCAGCACTGGTAGATCTGGACCAAGACGTACCAAACCTTCTTCAACGAGTTCATAGTAGACCTCCATCTCAAGTATCATGTCGATGGGACCAGATTGATTGAAGGTAGGATCAGCGAGAACGGCTGGTATGCCCCACTCTTGGGTGCTCAATGCCCTTGCAGGAAGATCGCGAGTGATCCCCGGTAGTACGTGGAAATCAGCGATGAAGTTCGAACAATGTGATTCGATTCGAGCGTCAACGGCGTAGGATGAAACGACAGTGGCATTTCCTACACCTCCGATCTTCTGATGAGTTTTGATACGTCGCAGCTTCAGTTTCTGTGACAGCTGCTCCGTCATCAAGTTCAGCTGCGAGACAGGATCCAACAAAGCTCGAGCCCACACGGCATACCCGTTGATATCAGATATCTTCACTATCGTAGTTTGCAACAAAACAGTCAGAGGAACGGTTCGAACACTGCCGAGAAGGGTGGTCGACACATGGCTGGTACAAGTAGGCGGAATGAGGCGGACTGATGTGGAGCACCGGAAGTACTTCGAGTGGACTTAGATTGCTTATGTGTTGTTGGTGGTTTGGGATTCAGAACGGCATCCGACGAACGAAGTGTGGTATTTTGGTGCAACAGGGTATGATGCTTTTGTCCACATACTCGACAACAACTGGACGGGTATTGCTTGACGAGGCGGGTTGGCGAGAAGCAATTTATGCAAAGCGAATTGTTCTTCACTATTTCGAATCGTTGGAAAACGGGAAGCTTCCGAAAAGTCTCGCAGTGGAAAGACGAGTGCGAGGACTGTGTACATAATGGACAGCATTTCGATGATGAGCTACTAGTTACTGCATGGCTAAACTTCGGTTTCTGCGACCGAACTGGTTCGAGTTTGGGCAGGTCTGCAATGTGGGGCTTCGACGACGATACCTTGGAACTTTGGTAGATTTGTGATGCTGTTCCCATTGCCTGAGCGTTGCGCAATCCAAGCGTGCGCAAAGCATATGCGCGAGAAGAACACTCCACTCTTCGGTAAGTTGCGCTCGAATTCATCGATGATACGCGCCAAGGATTCGTAGCATTCCTTGCGCATCGGTTCGATGGAAAGCAAAGACTCAATATATGTCTTCACGACAAGTTTCTTGTTACCAAACCTCTTCTCAAGTAGTCCTCAAGCTACTGAGTAATTAGCTGAGGTGATTTCAATCGACTCAATCACCCGTTTCGCTTCCTTAGAGAGAGAGGAAATAAGGCACGAAAATTTGTCAATTGGTTTCAGTTGAGGGTTACTATCGATCAGCGATCGAAAGCATCACGAAAGGTAAGCCAATTTGCTAGGGTACCATCGAAAGTGGGAAGTTTTACTTCTGGTAACCTTATTCGAGCGAATGATGAGTCAGCAACTGTAACCCTGGGTGCCACGAGATTTGACGGCGATGCAGTAGGTTTTGGTTTAAGTTTAGAAGCGATAAACCCATACACCTTCATGTAATTTCGTTCGAAATCACCCTCGGATTTTTCTGTACCCATCCTCATCAGGTGCAGCTGTTTCAGCTGCGTCAGCGTCTTCTTCTTGATCCTCAAGTAGATCCATTTGCAAGCGATTCGATTGAAAATCGGTAAAGTTTTTCTCTAGCCGCTGCATCCATCCCTCGAGAAATAATGTATTCCTTTGCTCATCGTAATTGGTTATCAGGCTAATGAAGTTGTTCATCGTGTCAATGCAAAAACGTTCTTGACGAGACAGCGCACGCATACTTGGTGCCATATTGATGAATACGAAACTCTGCCGAAATTCTCAAAAGCGACCAACGAGACAAATAATTCGCAAACGAAACTCTCGTTGAAATGTTACACCACCACAACTTCGCATACGATGAGCAAAAAAACTTCGAAAATGCGTCAGTATCCAACTGACTTCTTCCACCAAACCAATCAGGGGTAATAAATCAACTGTTCAATCTACGCCACGATAGTTCTCACTAGATATCATGCAATTTGTTATTCTATTTATTTGATCAGCAGAAAATCCACAGCAGCCTATACTGCTATCATGCATGCGTACTTACAGTGCGTCTCGTGTTGCGAATCGATTCTTCCTACCTACTTTGTCCAGCCCAATAAAAGCCACCCAAGCCAAGCCAGAATAACGTTGATCCAAGTCAAACCTGCAAAGCGTGACCCAGTTCAATATTAGCAGTGCTGATCGATGACCTTTGTCTGGTATCACTGCAACGTAGAAAATTGCGTCTTCTTTCCCGCACTAAATTTCATTTTTTTCCGAACTGTGCGGATTCACTTTTGGATTTTCCCCCACTAGGGGACTTTTCCCGTACGTTTACAGTCGACACTGACCGAGTTTGATTAATTAGACCAACTTTCACGTTCGATCCGCGTGAATTTCACAAACACCTTTCACGACTATACTGTTCTTTGCAACCGAGTTCACTAGATTTTCACACGCGTAAGTGATCCGGCTCGAAGGACCAAAATTTATGTTCGGATTTGCGACTAACATTACGCGGTGAAACTGGGGGGTTTGAAAACGGTCACTTGAACTTTTATTGCTCGCCTGTTAATTTGTAAGAATAACACGGTAGATGCGTTCGATTTGAAGATATATTTTTAACTGACTTGTATTGATTTCTGGCTATCTTATACAACTATACAATCAGTATCAGAGAGAGTGTGTAGAGAACCGAAGGAACACGATTTCAATAGGCCTTTTGGCTCATCTGCGATACCTACTCTAGCTGATAAGGTTGATAAGCAACGAAAGTGTTGCATTGGCGAAAAAGAAAGAAATCTATTCTAGCTGCACATTCCACAAAAAATCATGTAAATTAAGGAGCGTCAATTTTGACATAAAATTGAGTCAAAATAGACCAGAAATTCAGCTCAATCAAACGTACTTTTCGTCGAGTAACGAACTTTTCAGTCTCGAAGCACTTAATTTTACTTGACATGTTTGTTAACATCTCATCCTTTATGTCAAAGATGGATTCCGTCACGTGTAAAATTAGGTATTTCTAAGTGTGTGTATAATTTCAATAGGGTTCACTATCCAACTAATTCTTCAACAGTTTTGAAAAATTAATTTCAAAAATTTCGCTTTTTGTCACTAGTCAGCTTTTATGATGATGAGAACTTTCATTTTATGACTGAGCTATAAACCATGTTATGAAATTAATTCTTGCGTCTGACTTGAGAGCAGTGGCGTTAACTTAGCACGAGCATTTGGGGGCAACTATTTGTGGGTAATTTGTGAATTTTTAAAAGGCGTTTGTCTTATTCGTTTCTCAGCTTATTACGAGTCAATTCAGGATGATGTTTAGATAATTAATTCCGAAGAAAATTTTCCCGTACAACACTTATTTTAACCTTATATTCATTCAAATTAACTCTGTTGCTGTCTGTAACGGATATCATTTTCGGTGACAGAAGGTTGTTGCCTTAAAAGGTCTAAAAAAAAAAACAAAACAAAAAAAAAACGAGGCGAACCAGCCTCAGGCTGAAAGCCACCTAAATAAAGATAAATCAATCAATCAAGGTCTCTATATAATAATTTTATCATTATTACTGAAAATCTTTTACTCGGTCGACGCCACTGCTAGTGCACCAGCTTCTTTCCATGGCTCTTTTATTCTGGAAGAAAGTGTTGACTGTGACTCGCTAGTAATGAGTGAAATTTTATCAAGGGCAAAAGTTGTTGTTTATCAAGCGTAGTAAGCTCCCGTTGCCATGAGCGTGAATTAATTCATTGGATTGAAACTTCAGAAATCAGCTTTGTGCAAGAGAAGCTAAAATGTCAACAGTAACAGTTGATTTGCTGCAGGAAGTTCGTCATCTGAGATTTGCCTTGCCCGGTGCCGTTGAGCGCGATTTGCGTAATGCTTGGCATGCCTACCGAGTGTCGGATATTACTCGGCAGCTGGCTAGCGAGGCGGGACGGGAACTCTACGCGGAAGCCATAGCATTCGACTCGTGTGATGGAGCGAATTCGTTCTTTCCCAAAAGCCTAGCTGAACTGGTGGTAGATCAGATCGCCAAGTCGTTTGAAAGTGGTTCCGTTCCTCAGGGTTTGTCGTGCGAGCAGAAACGTGACTTTGGATATCTTTTGGACGTTGAATTGCCCATTTTAAACCTGCTTCATGTTGACGTAAGTATTCCAATCGAATTATTTGTCAATGGTTTTGTAAATTTATTGAATTCTAGAACGATACATTTTGGAGACGTGTTGTGAAAGCTAAGACCAAATCCATGGTAGAATTCCTCAAGTGTGATCGAGATAGCGATACCAATTGGAAAAACATGGGCGTTGCATTGAAAGTAGCGGAAGTGATCGAACAGGAACAACCTGAATACTGGTTTGTAGGTAGCTTGGAGGAAATCCTGATCAAATCACAACCCTTTGTCCGTAATTTGGTGATCTCACAGTTGAAACCATTGAAAAAGGTGGTTCCAGTGGAAGGCTACCAAGGGTACAAAGTCGTCAATCCTACACCGGATCTTTGCCATCATGGATCTCTAGTGGTTCTCAAACATCTGCAGAACCTTACTTCACTGAGTTTGATATTCGGGTTGGGAGGCATCATCAAAGGGTACGAACCTAGATTCTTCCAGTTTTCTCTAAATGATATGGAAAACCTTACCACGGCACTATCCGAGCTTCAATTTCTGGAGCATTTCAAACTGTCCCGTAGTCGTATGGAACCAGACAAACTTAAAGCGTTGCTTGGTCAACTTTCCGAGATGAAAATCAAGAGTTTGGAACTATCCTATTGCTACCTCGGAGAAGACGTCGGGTTTCTCCTAGGAAAGTACATCAGTAAATGTCCGGAAACTTTGGAAAGAATTGATCTGTCAGGAAATTTCTTGGACGGACAACAAATTGAAAACTTTGGCTATGGAATCAATGTTTACCAGGGTGTTTTGAAGCAGCTTGATTTGTCTCACAATCCAATAGGGGAAACCGGAGTACTGACATTGGGCGGAGCAATCGTGAATACTGAGCAAGTGAGAGAACTAAACCTTACCGGTTGTGACATTGGAGAACAAGGTGCTTTTTGGGTAAATATGTTATATAAACATGATGCAGTGTAACACAACCAGGGCCTAACATTTCAATTTTCAGGTCGCAAAACTACTCGCCATCCACAAGCCGCTTAGAATCCTGCACATGAACTGTACTCCACTCGGCCGAGCTGGTGGTAAAAAGCTTATCGAAGCACTCAAAGAAAACTGGTTCGTCGTAGAGGTAAATTGCAAATTTTGCAACCTGAAGCCCAGTCACGAAAGACGAATTCAGCGTATCCTGCGCAGGAACAAACAGTTTCTACATTCACGGAAAAACTCAAGCGACAGCAGCACTAGTAGCGATTTAAAGCCGTCACCCAATGGAAAATCTACGCCTCAATAAGGTTGAAAAACAATAAATTCTCTTGTTCTACTTGTTCGGAGCTGTGCCGTGTGCCATCACTTTGGGAATCATTATCATTTATACGACGTCGTAAATTCCGTTCCAGCCCGTGGTTCTAATTATCATTTTGTTGGCTGCCGTCAAAGAAAAGTGCATTCTGTTTGTGCCTGTTCCGGTAAGCCTCTCTCCGGTCCCGGATATCGCCAACAAAACGTGAGGTCGTAAAATATTCGGCAAAAGACGCGCGCGGTTCTGTGCCAACACAAAATGATAGACCTTCGGTCGTCGTCGTAGTGGAAGTCGTTGCCAAGTTCCAAACTGAACAGAGCATATGGAACGGTGAATCGTCGCGCTGGAATCATTACAAGTGAGTATAGGCACTTTTAGAACAAGGTGGTGTCTAACAGTATCGTCGTGTAGCCAACAAGCAGGGATTTGGTTGGTTTGTTTGTGGTGAGGCACGTTGCCAAAAAATAATAGCACTGGTGAGAGGCAATCGTAAAATGTATGACATTTGTTGAGCAGTTGTTTTCCTACTGTTGATCACCGTTTACAGCTAGGTAAATGTTGAATTTTTACGGGTTTTTAATTGAGTTTTGCATCACTAAGATTGAAACACAGGATTTCTTCTGTACTTATGTCAATCAGAGAGTTTGTTTCAAATTGAAGCTGTTTAGACCTGGGAAGTTATCTTTATTTACGAGACTTATAGCTCATGAAGAGTGAATATTCATCGATTAAAAAATCGCTGATTGTGACTCAATAAATGCAGGTTTCGAGTGTAAATCACATTATTTAAATCCTTTTTTTTTTGTAATAAACACTTACAAAATATAATCGACAACTCTTTTTATATCAATCAATGGCAGAAACCTTGTTTGAGTCCTTTTAAATAGTTTTTTGTACAATAATACAAACATTTTTTTCGGCATAAACTCCATACCGCAACTATAGGTACAACACTATTACTGGAACAAAGTTTTATAAACAAAACGTTGATTATTCTTTCCTCGACGTTTGAACGCAAATTACCAGCATCATCGGATAGCGGAAACTTTCCCCAGCCTAAAGATGGTATAAGTTTGCATAGGCGTGCCTTAAGTTACGAGAAAACGGGTTCCGGAAGATTTGTTCGCAATAGCTTATGTGCTTTTTTATGTTGTTGGTCGTGATTTGCTTGATTGGTTCCTCTATTTGACAGCTCAATTGGTTCCCGAGATTCTCTCCGGCAGGCTATGAATATAGCAACTATAAAGCTAACATCATCTTATGTCAAACTGTCTTGCGAGCTTAGCCAGAAATTCGTTTATGATGCCGTGGTAAATCAAAGAGAAAGTCGATGAAGAGAATCGATCAGCGAGCCCTTTTCAAATGTTGCGCGAGAATACAGAATTAAGTTTCAAAATGTGGCATTACTGCTTAAGGCCAGCGTTGCCAGATATACCGATTTATCGGTATTCATACCGATTTTCAACCTTGATACCGATTTACAGATAAGGTTTCTCAGAATACTGAATTTTTAGTTTTCATACCGATTTATACCGATTTTTTATTAATATTCAAAATATTACTGCCTGCCCGCACTAAATTGTCAGAGGAAACTATTGTGAGAGACTTTTATCTTTTTGAAAATTAAAATTTTTGAGCCTGCTCTAAAAATGTAATCTTTAAAAATGTCTAATGCTTGATACTCTTTCGATTAATATTTCCATTTTCTCGCCTTTTTTGGTTACCAAGCAGTCGAAAAACAGCCTATTAGCTAATCCCGGTAATTAATCATTTTGTCAAGCTTCTGCATTCATGTTCCATCAGATGTCACTGCTGTTGTTTGCGGTGATATCTATCGGAAACTAGACACAATCTGTTTTCCTATAATTGTTCACAGAGGACACTGAAGTGCAAAACATGTCTTGTACCTCTATATATGCATTTAGATTATTATTCGAAGTCCCTCCTTTTTTACACATTCTGCACACAAAATAGCTCACCCCTCACAGAATTTCCCGCCGAATTTTATGTATGGGGCGGGGCATAAAGTATCTTTTGCGCAGAATATGTAAAAAAGGAGGGACTTCAAATGTTAAAGCAAATGCATATATAGAGGTACCAGACATGTTGTGTAGTGTCAGGTACTCTATTTTGTAATCTGTGAAAGGGAAATCACAAATCGAGTGTCAACAAAATACATGGCATGTTGAGAGATTGAGCTCGTGAGAGAGAATTTCTCTCTCAAATTTGAAATTGTTTGGCTCTCTGGGGACTGGTAGTAAAGCAGGTAAAATTGTATGGGGAAAAATCATTTTTATTTAATTGTAGCTTGTTTAGCATTAATTCCCGGGGGAAAACTGAACGACAAAGCCCCTGACTAATTTCTTTAGGTTGTCGTTCACTTTTTTTGACCTGAATATGCACCGAAAGCGAATTATTCCCACTTCTCTCAATTTTTATATGGGGATTTTTATCACTTCCTACCAGCGGAACAGCGCCATCTCTGTGGAAAATGGTCGAACAAAATGATTAATTTCTGGAAATCAAGAAAAACTTTTATTCAGTGGAAAAATTGATCCATGAAAATGTTAATTTTTGTACTTCTTGAAATTTCTTTAATCGTCCCTTTGAAGATTACTCCAACTTTCTCTAGGAATTTCCGTCCACCTTACCATGTAAGTTATTTTCCGATTTCTTCCGGAAAGCTATTTTGACATCCCTTGGAAACTTCTTCTGGCTTCGCTCGAAATGTTCTTCCGTCTTCTCCCGTCAGCTTTTTCAACTTCCTCGGAACTTCAGGAATGCTTCCAGAGTTTTATTGCGGTTCCATTAGCTTCAGGAAAACTTCAGGAACTTTTCAAAAATTGTGGAGCTTTAGAATAGTTCGAATTTTTGAATAGGTTCCGATAAATTAAAGACAGTTTCATTATCTTCTGTTCAAATTTGAGAACCCGGAAAACTCAGGAAAGCCCAGAGAACTCCAATGAACTTAAGCAAACTGAAATATTTTGGAAACTTCACAAGTCCAAAAAACTTCAAAGAAATTTAATGGTTTTCAGGATAGTTCCGTTTGTTTCAGGAAAATTGAAATAACTTTAGGGAAGCTCTGAGAACATCAGGAAATATAAATTCAAGGAAATTTCTGATTCTTTAAATGAATTCCGAGAAACTCAGGGAGTTCCGAAAACTTTAGTAAAGTTTGAAAATTTTGGAAACGTTAGGGATTTTACATGAACATTAGAAAATTGTGACAACATTTTAAGGGAAGTTCCGTGTTTTTTATCAGCAGTTTTGAAGACTTTAAAAAATAAAAAAAGGTTGGATCAGAGAAAAAATGAAAGCGCTAAAGAAGATCAAGGGATTGTTAACCCTCCGTTACTCGCGCTGTTGTACTTTGTACAACACACATGAGTTTTCCATTGCCATTTTGTTGCTGAGTTACCAATCGATCTGAAACCAACGAGTATTCCTCAAAATACTTGTTTTGATCGAAACAAGCAAAACTTTGATTACAGTAAACACCTAAAAATGTGGATAATAGGGAAAATGTAAATGGAAACCGCGTAAACTGTGACCATACTACGTGGGATTTGACTTCATTGATTACAACGTGGAATAAATCGAGAGCCTGACCAGATAGAAAGTTACTGTCTCCGATAAAGTTGTTCAGGAGCTCATAGTCTTGTCGCTGGTCGACAGTAGTTCAGAGTTTTCTCACTAAGTAGCGCTAGTATACATGTGAAATTTTCCCATGTGATATTTCTCGAGATCCTGACCAAATAGAAAATTACTGTCTTTCAAAAAGTTTTTCAGGAGGTCAAAGCCTATTGCTTGGTGCTCAATAGTTTAGAATTTGCTCACTACGTGACGCTAGTATACACGTAAAATTGTCATATAAAAAATCTCGAGTTCCCAACCAATTAGAAAAGTACTGTCTTCGGCAAAGTTGTTCAAGAGATCAAGGCTTTTTCGCAGGTGGACAGTAGTTCAGAGTTTTCTCACTTTGCGGCGCTACTATACATGTGAAACACTTGCATATAAAATATCTCTAGATCCTGACCAGATAGAAAGTAAATGTATTGGGCAAAGTTTTTCAGGAGTTCTAGACCCCTCGATAAGACATTTTGAAATAAGCCTAAAATGAAAGGGAGACTCTAAAAATTAATTTGGTGGCAGATTCAGCGATATTGATCTTTAAAGATAATGTTTTCCATCTGAGATACGTGTTACCACTAATTTATCAGAGGTATACAATTGGAACGACTCACCCCAATTTATGTATCCGCAAATTTACATAAAAATCTTCACCACTTAAAGAAATCCAGAATATATTTGTCTTATCCCACTTAGGCTGATGTAAATTGTATTTTCATTTTATCATATTTGATATGCGAGAATTGCCCGCCAAGTTTTAAGCAATTTCTGAACTACTGTTCATCAGCCAAAAGATCTTTATCTCCTTAACAGCTTTGCCAAATACAGTAAATTTCTAGCTGTTCAGGATCTCGAGATATTATACATGCGAAGATTTCACGTATATCCTAGCGCCGCATATTGAGAAAGTTATGTACTGTCAACCAATGAAAAAGTATTGATCTCTTGGACAACTTTGCCAATGACAGTTTAGCAGGTCTCGAAATATATATAATGCGAGAATTACAAGCGCAATTATGTGAAACAAAAATTGAATTTCTGTCCACTAACCAAAAGGCCTTGCCTCTCTGTACAACTTTGCCGCAGACAGGAATGTTCTATTAAGTCAGGATCAAGTTTGCCGAAAACAGTAACTTTCTATCTGCTCAGGATCTCGAGCTATTGTATATGCGCGAATTGCATGCACCGAGTAGTGAGAAAATTCTGAACAACTGTCCACCGACGAAAAGATCTTGACTTTCTGAACAGCTTTGCCAAAGACATTTACTCTCTATCTGGTCAGGATCTAGTGATGTATCACATGCAAGAACTTAACATGTATACGAGCACTACCTAGTGTGAAGATTCTGAACTACTGT